TTGAAGGAGTTGGCGAGTCGCGGGTAACCTTGAAGATGTCGGGGTCGTTGCATCCAATCAGGACCACTCTGCACTTGGCCTTCACTTCTCCCAGGCCCTTGTTCTTGTCTCGGTACGCCGCCCGGGACTTGAGCACTCGTTTAGAGAGCTTGGGATCACTGAGGATCTTGTCAGCCTCTTTATGAGAAAGTGGCTTAATCCCGCCCCATCGCATCCAGTTAGTTGTCCTCCTCTGCACGGACAGACTCGAGGTACTTCTCGTACTGGGCACGTGGTTGCGAAGTGAGCTCTTTCCAGGGCAGCTCTCTGTCCAGTTGCTTGAGCACACTGTCTTGCCCTCGTCTTCAGAAGAGGAAGCGTCCTCTCGTGTTGGGTCTTCGTTGACGCCGTCCTTCTTGAGGTCGTTGACGCGTTGCTTGCTGGCTAAGTAGGCCTTGTAGTAGGTCTCGTTGTGAAACGGGATGGGCATGTCCACGGTCTCGTCGGCACGCTGCAGGACTGCCTCGCCGAAGTCATCGACACAAAGTTCGAAGATGCCACTTAGCAACACGTCAGCTGCGCGTTTCTGAGGTAGCTGTGGTAGTTGCTGCTCTTGTTGTGGAGGTGGTGCGTCGGTGCTTGCCCTTGCCGCGCCCTCTGAGGCAGGTTGCGTGCTTGTCACAGGAACCTGAGGTTGTTGTGTTGTCCCATCACGGGACAAGTCGTGGCTGCTGGTGGGCAGCTCGTGTGCTCCACGCTCAGGCCATCGTCTAAGCCGGTGGCACTCAAAGGTGGTACGTCTGGTTGAGCTCGTGCTTCAAACTGGTACTCAGGAGTTCCAGGCGCCGGAGCGCTAAAGGGAGGTGTCTCTGGCACACCTGAGCTGAAAGGGAGTCCTCCTGGAGTCACCGGTGCTGGCACGTATGTCGCTGCCTGTGGTTCAGCTGCAGTAGCCTGACGTTCGCCTCGTTTGGCTTCAGCTGGTGCTTTTGTCCTCCGTGACGGTGTACGTGATCTTGGTCTGCCTCGAGGCGTAGGTGGAACCGGTGAAGATGGCACTGCTCCTGGTGATGCTGGAACCTGGAACGTCATGGACCTGTTGTCGTAGTAGTTCTGCACGTTGGACTGCTGCTGAACCGCCGTCTGTTGCTGCTGAACCGTCGTCTGTTGCTGCTGAACCGTTGTCTGCCTCGGTCCGTCACCGCTTCCAGCTCCTCGTGAGTGAACTTGCCGTTGAGCAGGTAGTCGTTGAGGTTGTTGCAGAGCGGACGACGTAGGCATTCGAAGAGCGCGAGGTTGTTCTGCAGGATGTTGTTTCCGAAAGAAGGTTGTGGTACCGGTCCAGGCCTCATTGTAGCTTCTTGCGCACCTGGGGTCTCGCCACTGGTCTTCTTCGGGTTGCTCCTCGTGCTCGTGGATGTGCGTCTGCCTGGCGTCCGCAAGGTCGTCCACGTTGAAGTCGCAGTCGCCCGGCACGGGGATGTACAGCTCGTAGCGGGGAACCACGTGGACGCGGATGAAGCGGTTGTCGACGTATCGCCAGTAATCTTGATCGCGAACAGGTAGAGGCGCAGGTCTGGCAGGAAGTTGACCAGCCAGCTCTGCCGTTGCATCTTCCAATGCTGTGGGAGGCTCTTCTCGTTGATCTTCCCAGAGGTTGTAGCGGAGGTTTCGCTCAGCGTCTTTGAGGATGGCAATGTCCTCTGGAGAGGGTGTCCACTCTTCCCATCCACAGGCCACCCGAACCTGATTGTTCGCAACCTTCACGGTGGCGGTGTTGACTTGAAGCCAGACGGACTTGTTGTCGGGATCGTGGGAGACAAACCTTGGTAAGGCCCAGGCTCCACGTTTATGTTGCCTCGACCTTCCAGACCACCGCCAGAACGCAACTGCCTGGCCGGGCTGCAAGTCTCGAAGGTTCTGTTGGTGATGAGTCTTCCTCAGCACCGCTCTGCGTGTGGCTGAGCTGGCGGTGTGCTCTGCAAGGGCTTTCATAGCCTCTGCTCGAAGGATCTCGGGTCGCATCAGGCCCGGGTCAGGTGACGTGACGAGGCTGAAGGGGTCGCTCACCAGGTCTCCGAGAGGCCGCGCCACACGTCCAAACACAGCTTGGGCCGGTGATCTTCCGTGTGAGAACGTACACGAATTGATGGTGCGCAGCACGGCAATCAAGCACTGGTCGAGCTCTTCTCTTTCGATCTTGCCGATGCGGAAGTGAGCTTCGGCAGGAACCGTCTCGCGCAGGATGCCGTGGCGCATGTGGAACGTGGTTACTTCGCCACCGAACTCGCCGCCGGGGTCCGTCTTGAAGCGTAGAGGTAGTCCAAGAGGTCGGTACCATATTTCCAGCAATGTTGCTAAAGCATGCGCCGGTTGTCGCGACTCCAGGACCTTGGCGGCATGATATGAGGTTGCCTCGCAGGTGACGCCAAGGACGGGAACATTCTCGCCATTGATCATCCGGAGGTAGACCACGTCGGACTGAAGGACCTCGCCGAAGTAGCCGGAGTAGTTGCTCAGAGTTGACGAGGTAGGTGGTGGTCGTGGCTGACGGGTTCGCAAGCAGCTTCCACATCGCAAGCAATCCAAGCCAGTCAGCACCTTCTTGCTTAGGTTGCCTGCAGCAGCAAGCATCCTCACCAGCTCGGCCTTAGGTGCGTGGCCCATGTTGACGTGGAGCCGCCCCAACGAATATTGAAGCTTGCGATCAACCTCTCGAGGCGGATCTTCGAACCAAATCTCAGCGTCATAGCCGGCGAGTCGAAGTTGACGTTGAGAAGGTGCAGCTTCGGCTTGATCACCTGGCAGGGGCGGTGGCTGTTCTTGTACTCCGGGATCTTGTTCAGGGAGCTCGCCTTGGTCAGAAGAACACCGCCACTCGCACTGGGTTTTGGTAGCGCTGCTTGGGGCACTTGATGGACGACAAGTCCTCGGCCTCAAGTTGGAAGTCGCCGGAGGTCAGCCTCAGCGCGGCTCCGTGGTGAGTGTAAGGAAACTCTTGAGGTAGTCGTCGAGCAAGTGGTAGCCACGCAGCTTGAGCTCGCGTAATCTCCCAGGGGACCAACTCCTTGATGGCTTTCAGCATGGGGTCGTTGTCGGGCAATGTGAACGGCTTCTTGTTGCTGTTCGTGAAGCGGGACTCCACCTCATCCAGCAGTGACCTCCATGCCTCAGCATCGGGGACAGGTCGCGCGAACATCACCTCATAGGCCTTTTTGGTAAAGCGTGCCTGGTAGACGCCGTTCAGGATGGCGTCGACAAGGCCGTCGCAGTAGGCGCCCGAGCGTTCGGTCTCGTTGCCCTCGATCGTGACGCAGTACTGCTTCTGCTCGGCAGTCATCCTTCTCGACAGGTTGTCCGCCAGGAAGTCGGAGTTGGTGATCCACCGGCGCGGTTTCACAACGGGCTCGCCCTTGGAAGTTTCAGCACCATAAGCCCCGGCATCGCACGTAACCATGCGGCAGTCTGGCAGCTCCAGCAGCTTCTGGACGGAGTCTTCGCGCCACAGTCTCGACCT